CGCTGATTAAGCCTGTTTACATCACCATACCCATTCAGAGACGAGACAAATAGCTTTGTGTTGAACCACTTTCAAATCAGTTATCAGTAAAACGTACTATAAAGCAAAAGTCATTATTGTTAGAGAAACAAGGTCTGTGCTTCAATGAAAACCTAAACGGCATGAAAACAGTTGCATTGCAACCCATTGTGTTTAATAATTTTATGTGTTTGTGACCACATGCATACGGAAGAGAAGTATTGTTTTACTAGTCAGGGTACCTGAATATGTACCTAAATGCTCGCTTAACTAATGAAATCACATAACCCAAGGGATTTCATAATCAAACTGACACTTTTTGAACGACTGTTAGATAGAGTATTGACATTATCAAATCATTTGACTTGAAATTATGTGAATAATTAATCTTATTGTGTAAGTCATTTTGAAATGGCTTCAGTATACTGTTCGAATTAATAGACTCAGTACATGTCAAGGTGTATGGTGACACGTATATTCAGTGACTTTTGTAACGACAAAATAAAAACCACATTTTTACTCTGATGTATCACACTTTATATGTAACCACATTTACATTCAATATCTATTGCTTCTCTGTATCAATGTTAAAAAACGGATATTATTGTTTGGTTATATACATATACTGATATACTACCACGTTGGTTAAAATATAAACACACTCTTCGCCGTCTGTTCTTCTGCTTTATTGGACACGGTCTTTGATTGAAGATTATAATAGTGTTATAACAACCTTTTGGACCTTCCCACACTACGTTCGATTTTTGGCCCGGATCATTATTAAATAATACTATTGGATTCAATCTTTCTCATTACGACGTTGTTGCCACCACGTGCAGAGGAATCTTCGTTAATCAAGTGAACTCATTTGTGGTTGTTATCTCAGAGAGCAGCTTACAAGTAACATTCATTTCAATAACAAGTGTTGTCATTTTTTGTTTAATATACCACTTATATTGTAACTGTAATTTGTTGCCTTTTGCTTTACTAATAGACAGACACTTAGGGTTGTAGTTTCAACTCTTTTTTGGTATATTATTGGTAAGCTTGCGTATTGTTTTATCTTAAATAAGCTCTTTTGCTGGGATCCACCACAGGTGTTTGGGAAGTCCACAATGAGTCTCAGTAAGATATCATGCTTCCTCAAGGATCTAATGAATTTGATAGACGAACTAAGATATGACTATTTTATTGACAGTTTGGTGGGCATGATAATACCCTACCTAGAAGATGTTCTATAAGCACCAGTTTGATCATGAAATCCCTCATACTGTCCCAAAATTCAATCTTCTTAACTTTCACATAGTTTTCATCTAAATAAACAAACGGTATAGCAGTGGGATTCCCTGTGTCTTTGATTGTTGATAACTTATTCATATCTCATGTAAAATCGCATATATCTACTAGTGAAATTAGAACACGCATTTAACACAGATATGTGGGTGATCAAATTGTCATAATTGAAAAGACTTTCTTAAGAAACGTTTCTAAACAGATGAACGCATTCTCAGCTCACATTAGGTTATCAAGTCAAACATTACCAACCATAAATAAAATACAATACTCTAGGATGTAATACCAGATGTAATCGACCGTAACATCCATGTAGATCATGAATCATATATATACCCCACTAATCTCATTCCGTTCAACAAATATTCTTAAAATCAATCTTCGTGAAAAACTGAAACATTCATACTACTCTCCATTGTAGAGTAACGAAAGTTCGTTTGATAAATGCTGCTCGAAATCACCTAGTGACATAATATAATGAAGAACGGTGAGTGAACATTTCATCAAATAAAATAAAACTTGTGCAGAAATCTATTTCAATTCAGAATAAACTATTACAAGTCACCTGTTCATAACAATTCGCCATCGTCATATATTTCATTGGAGGCGGACTCAAACATAAACCACCCACTCTCAGCTTCAACTCAAAGTAAAACACCAGTTGTCTCACTAAACAGTTTGCACACAGTAAACATTTTCAACATTCATTAATTGAAAACACGTTAGAATCATATGAACAGACCAAAATGAAATACATGCACAAAACAAACATTCCAGTAAATTAAATGAAACCGAAGAAGCTATGTTCTGAATAACAACACATGGTACAGCCGAACATCACAGAATAGCAACAACGATAACAATAATAATAATAATAATAATAATAATAATAATAATAATGATAATAATAATAATAAGGTAGAAATCTCTTCTATTCGTAAACAGATTAGACTAAGAAACAGAATGATTCACATCTGAAATCTAATAAAACAAGTGGGTAACATAACGTACGTTGATAAGAAAATTCAGCAATAACATTCTGTTCATATATCTGGGTAGAATAAAATTTATGTGAAGATCATTTGGACCATTTGACCACCTTCCTTTCGTAGACGAATTGATTAATTGGCTCTTTTGAGCCAATCGGTAATGTGGCCAAATAGAACGGTGTATCAGCACCTAAAAACGTCAAGAGAAGCACAACATTTTGCTTAAGTGATCAGCTACAAAGACCCATGAGTGATGTAATTTTCCTAACCACCCTATTGACCGCGGTGAACGCAATCCGATATGAAGTTCTTACTGACATACGTCGGCTGGTAAAGGAATAGTACACATTTTTGACGAAAATTGATTCATCGAATAATCAGAAATAACATTGTAATTACTTACATATGCTTTAATATAAGTTCACATCACTTCTACCTGAGTACATTTTTCACATTCCTTATGAAATCTGATCTCATACCTGACCCTAGCTCTGTTCAAGTGATTTTATCAATGAAATGTAGAGATGAAACGAGTTTAGTATATCGTGACTTCCATTGTGTGGTTTCACGAAAAACAAACCAGTATCAAATGGGGGTTTATTTGAAAATCTACAGGTATTCAATCACAATGATCACGTACTTCATACCTAAAGTTCAAGGGAATATTCGGGTTTCATGCAAAACCTTGAAAACAATTTCGCAACACAAAGTAAATAAATTCTTTATGAATTTAGACTAAAGATCAAGGAACATTTATGGGATGTTATTAAAGACCGAACATAATTTCTTCTTATTATATTCGACTGCACTTGTTTTAGTGCCCATTTTCCCTTCACGTTACAGTCAATCATCACATTCGACAGTTGAAAACCAAATGTTAGACAATAGTACGCTCTCCTGATGCTCAGCTGTTCCCGAACTCAACAAAATAGTGGTCAAATGATTCTGTCAAAACAACTGACTTTTCAGATAATACATATATATATATATATATATATATAAGGATATAGACTCACCTTCATCCGTTGTCTTCACACCTTTATGGTCAGTCATATCAGTGTCAACAAAACCAGGACAACACTGTCGAAATGATGAAAACGCGAAGATAATGTAATAGAATCTAATTGAACAAAACTATCAAATGTTATGTTAAAATTAAAACCATTCGCTTCCAAGCAATCACAAACTCTCAAATAATCACTTTAACAATACCACTCACGAAATTAATTACTCTTAGCCTTCAACAACTGAGACAATTACCTTCCCTAGGCACCGACTCAACTATTATAGCAAATACAAACCAAGTTCACGGCACCCTAAACAACCTCGATTATTCCAGTTGAAGTCTAGCTTAAATATTTCTAAGTTACAGTAGGTTTTTAAACCATGGAGCAGTGGAAAATTAGTCACACTCATCCAGTAATGGTGTATCTAATACAGAGATATTGAGATGCCGAAGACATTTCTGGTGAAGCTTGCTTCAAAAAGAGCAGTACTGTAAACAAATTAAAGGTAGTTTTAGTTTGAAGAAACGATAATTATTACTATCCAATAAACAATGTGTAGCACTCGAGTGAGGATTTCATTCATTACATGAGCGAATACCTGACATTTCAGTTTACTTTTCAGAGTGAGTTACTTGAAGTATAATGATAAATATGTACGAATATTCGGCAATATTAAACCGAATAGTTTGACAGAAATTTGGCGCCGAGTATAGAGAAGATATTATATGCGAAAATTATATTTGAGATCATCTAAGCGGCTGAAATCTAAATAACTCCAGACAAGTTTGCTGGACGAAACGTTGGAATTGTTTAAATTTCAATCACTGAGATTATTTCAAATATAATTTTCAGATACTATGAAAGTAACAACACAATAATACTTAGGTCATTTCAGCATAATTTCCAAGGAAGTGAATCAAAATAACTGTGCTTCCCAATCATTGCAATCAACCGACCATAATTTTAATCAAAATAACTATTCTTGAAAACAGAGTGACTTTCATTCCATTAGGATCGAAAGCATATACCACACCAAGGATCCTACGGCTTAGAAAATTTTAAGTTAATAACAATCGCATATGAATAGTGTGTTGTGTACTACTTTTAGCATACATCAGGACTTGAAAGTAGAGTTTTTACCGACAGAAGGGGAAAATGGAGAGAAGAGAAAGGAAAGCAGAAATCAATCGAAATACCAACAGTCATGAAGGAACGATGAATTTTATATGGGACAACTTAAGAAAGGTGGACAAATAATGTATTTTCATATTTTACAAATACAGTGTGTGATCCTGCATAAGACAAACATTTTGTCCACCCTCCAAGAATTTGTTAATTATGATAGGGCTTAAACACAATTTCTGTCTAATTCTTACTGATATTCAGTGCAACAACGTAATCTGACTGAGTGATCGCGGTATAAAAGGAGTGGTTAACGTGAAACATGACCTTCAATACTTGCTGTACAACAAAGAACATGTGTCTATCTTGATATCATGAAACAACAAGAACGCCGTATATTCATTATGTACAAAATATAAGTAAATCGAACTACAACTCCGTGCACACACCGCATAATCCAACTGTTACAACAAATACTACTCTTAGTTTTGTTATAAGTCTAATCCTATAATTAAAACGATTTATACAACAGGAAACACAAATCGTCACAATATCGACAAAACAAACTAACCGAATTTATCACAATCCCTCTTGGATCATCTTTCAGCATTTCACCAAAAATAAATGAAGCCTTTGTAAGGCCTATTTTAGATACCGCATACGCACTTGACACCCAACCTTTCTCAGAATAAGTACCATCCTCAGCAGACCTAATAATAAATTCAAAGCAAAAGCAATTATATTTGAGACAAACAGAAAGAACTATATGTTACATGAAACCTTAAACTCCTGTAGTTTCACGAATCTGAAACTAACCATACCACCAAAGAAATTCACAAAAGTAGTATATAAACGCGACACGAATTGTTGCCTTCCAAATTTCAAAGATATGACTAAACACATTTTGTGTAGAAAAGACACCTCGTAAATTAACTACTTACGTTCCAAAAAATTTAACAATGTCGGAAAACTTGTAGAAGATACATTTCACAACAGCAATCAATTCGAGTTATAAAATTATGAAATCAAATCAAATCGGTTATAGTACTCAACACCAACCTCAATGAAAAAATTAATTTACCTTACAAACTCCGCCATAAGTTCTTTTAATTCAAAAAGATTCATTTGGCCGACAAATTTTTCGTACAGATCGTCACTAAGTTTCATCAGATTGAACAAAGAAAGAGTAGAAGATACGTTGACGACTCTAAACAGTAGGAACTAATTCTTCTAGCTCACCTGGAATTTTCAGCCAGTAAAGGAATGAACTCTTCCGTGAAATCGACAGTCGAAGTGAAGTTAGTGTTAACAGTGACTCGTGCTTGCTCGCCAAGTGACTCTGGAGTGTCAGCCTATAAAGACATATGAGATTTTAAGAACAAAACAACTTTAAAGGCAATCCCAGCATTATTCACTGCAATGTTGATTCCATTAGGATAGTTTCTCTCTACAAATGTTAGGAACGCTTTTCGACTATCTCGATCAGTAATATCTAGTTGATGAAATTTAACATCCAGGCCCTTGTTACTGAGCTTCTCCACAGCTTCCTGACCAAGCTCAACATTTCGAGCTGTTAAATTATCAACCAACAACTTCTTACCTGTTAGATAAATATCCCACTCTCCTGATGTCCCATAAAATTCTGCAAGCTTTTCAACAATGGTATATCCAATGCCTTTGTTTGACCCAGTTACCTAAAGAGGAGTAATAAATTGTTTGTAAGATGAGTAAACTCATCATACGAATGCCAGTTTCATGATAGCACCAAAATACGGATAAAATACCGTCGTGTACTGAATCCGTCGACTAGCAAACGTACTGAATGAGAACTAAATCTGTTAAGCAATATGTTGACAATTTATCAGGGCAATATCTGAACACTTTACACGCCTACACTAATTGAATCTCAACTACCAATCATAATGATGCTTGCAATCGGTAGTTTTCTAGTACATGCGATAGAACATCTTTCTGATTGGAAAATACAGAATCATTACCTAAAAAGCTGGCATGAACAATGCGATACAACCAATAATCCCGTTATTCGTTAACCAATAATTTATTAACGATAAGTCGTGTCCTTATTGAATGAGTTGACGCCAATAATCACTCAAATAAAATAAAATAAGTGCTTAATGATGTAATTATTGGTTCAAATGTGCTCGTGTTTGGATCCTTCTGAGCTCTGTGGTTTTAAAACACAGAAACGCGTTTCTATGTATTTGCTCCAGACATTATCCTCTTTTAGTGACTTCTATAAAGAAGCCGAGATTACTTATGTTTAAATAATTGGATTAAATGGAGGCATTGGATATAGCATTGTTGAAAAGCTTGCAGAATTTTATGGGACATCAGGAGAGTGGGATATTTATCTAACAGGTAAGAAGTTATTAGTTGATCATTTAAAGGCTCGAAATGTTGAGATTGGTCAGGAAGCTGTGGAGAAGCTCGATAACAAAGGTTTGTTTGTGAAATTCCATCAACTAGATACAACGGGACTTTACCTGTGGCCAGTCTAGGGTTAATGCCGATCCCAAACCTGGGTGAAGGAGGAGGATTGAGCAAACGGACAACGATCCCATCCCATTGAAATCAACCTTGCTAAAAAGAACGCAGACCAGAATAAGCAATTTAAACCACTTAAGCTCTGCTCACCTAGTTGAATAAAAAAATTATGACGCCTCATGATAAAAGCCGTAATTCTTCGGAAGTCATGAGGCCGATGCCTCTTCTAACAAGCAGAACAACAATTAATGTAGCTATACAGAATGTTCGGACAATGTGGGAGACAGGAATGACCAGTCGAATAGCTACAGAAACGACTAGATTCAACTTGTCCGTGCTCGGAATCAGTGAAACCCGTTGGAACTAAGCTGGACAGAAATGGATAAATTCAGGAGCGATACTGCTGTACTCTGGTCATGAAAGACTCAGCACACTCTCCACTTCCAGATCAACATGCTGGATTCCGTAAGGATCGGTCATGCACAGACCAAATTGGGACACTATGGATCATTGTTGAACGATCACTCGAGTGGAACTCGTTACTATTCATCAACTTTTTTGAACACAAGATGGCATTTGACTGCGTGGATAGGAGAACCTTACGGAGCTGAAACGTGGAGAACTTCCACAACCATAATCAAAAAGTACACGTTTTTATAAACAATTGTCAACGTATGACACCGAATGTCCGTTGGTCGGGTATCATCAGCAACAGCCTTCTGTGAGAGAGAATGAACTAGCATCTACCTGGAGAGGAAAGTAGAAAACGACGTTGGAAGTGGATAGGACATACATTGGGGAAATCATCAAACTGCACCACGAAGCAAGGGATAAATTGGAATCCTGAATAAAAATGGGGAAGAGGAACACCAAAGAACACACTGCACCGAGAATTAGAATCAGACAAGAAAAGAATGAATAGCAACTGGAAAGGACTGGAAAGGACTTCCCAGGATAAATGAGTGGTCTCTGTTAAATATCTGTCATTGGATTATAACAACGTAGTTGTGTTGAGAGCAACGTTTCAATCCTTGACAGTGTTGAATGGAATTCGAACTAGTTACTCATGGTTCCTATGTAGTTTCCTTCGAATTTCAAAAAAATGTGATTTAAAGTTAAAATAAACTTTATTATATCCAAATGGATTTTTAAATGGCTACATAATTTTCGCATTTGTATCCTAAAAATGAACATGCAGTTGTAATAAAAATGTTTATAAGATATAAGTTCAATTACTGTTCGTAGGACTGAGATTCATAGGTTTCTAAAGTAAATAAGTAATAAAGTAGGCATTTCTATACACTATATTACTCAAGTTATATACTATGTGACAAAATAATGTCTTAAATATTCGTTGCTGATGATCACTAATTTTAACGTAATCGAGTGTCTTAGTAACATCATAAATGTTTTTTAAAGACAATGTGCATTATCGATGCAGCAAACAATTTTTGTGTTTTGAAATATGCACCGTCGATTCAGAATTCGAGTTTGAGAAGTAATATCATGGTAATTCTCGAACGTACTAAGTTATAAGACGCCGGAAATAACTTATAAGACTTACAATGGACACATAAAGTATTTTGGAAATGCCTAAGAGAATGTCAGTTATTTATATTTTTCTTGAACTTCTCCATATTGTACTTAGTCTGTGCAGTTGAAATGTCATGATAACTAATGATGAGAGATTTAATTCTGAAAAGTTTTAACGAATTCTCACATTTGATTTGGTCCGAGAAAAAAAAGTACTGAAAGTTTGTACGTGAATCAATCATTCACATAAGAAATTCGGTATGATCAACCGACACAATAAAAATGTGAACAATCTCATTAAAACAAATGGGTGATAGGTTAATTGGTTGACTCCTCCAATTACTATTTATTATAAAATTATTCCAGAAAATATGTGAAAGGTACGATTTCGTGTGAAGTGAAAAATTGGTGACTTTGGATCAGAATCATTCGTGTTGATTTAGTGTTGCCAGACTTTTATAATTATAATCAGCAATCTCTTGATGACAAACTTTAAGGATAAAGTGATACATCGCTCCCTATACAGCAATCCACTGTTATGTTATCAATAACTGATGTCAGAAGCTGGTTAACATTTTAAATAATAAAAACATACATAATACGAAGAGTTGACTATAATGACTTGTTCAACAAATTATTTCTGATATCAATTATCGTTAGACGTCAGATGAAATTGGTTCGAGTGTACATGAACAGTGAACACCGGTTTACGTTGTGTTGTGTGTTAATCCGATAGTCACGTGAAATCTATAATTCAGGTCAATTATCTCCTATATATCAATTAACTAATCAATTATGAGGTCATATTCTCACACAACAGTCACTATTAACTAAATCGTGAATGATTGAAATCGAGTGATAAAAGTACAAATCAATATTACCTATGAACAAGCGAGTTATTTATTTCTATCCTCCTAGTTAGAATTGTTAATTCGCAATAGTATGTTCTTTATAGATAGTATGTAAACTTGAGATTTACAATGGGGAGAACATAAAAATACAGTGATACAAATATCTACTAACTAAACAAAAAAAACACAAATGATAATAAACTGCAAAATAGTTACAGAGGTTTTAGCATTGCCAGTATACGTCACACTGTACCAGTATGTTTATTTCATACTTTGATTCTGAGAAAATTCCAGAATTTTGTTATTCTTTCTGATGTCTTACGATCAATGTCTCTCATGCGGATCTAACAGAGGAGATCTTGCAAATCAATGAAGAACATACTACTGCGAATTGACAATTCTAACTAGGAGGATAGAAATAAATAACTCGCTTGTTCAGAGGTAATATTGATTTGTAGTTTTATCACTCGATTTCAATCATTCACGATTTAGTTAATAGTGACTGTTGTGTGAGAATATGACCTCATAATTGATTCTATAACTTAAATAGATAAACTAAAGTACATATTAATATGAGCTGAACTAATTAGTACTTTGTATGATTCTCATTTATTTGAAATATCTAATTTACTTTTACTGGAGCAATAAAGATTTCAGTTTTTCTGCTTGGTGATATTAACTAATTCAGATTGTGTTGATTATTACTTTTCAGTTACTGTTTTATTCACAAAGCAATACGGCCTAATCTAGAGTGTATGTTATTGACTGAATGAAAAGGGTATGTATTTCTTGTGTTTCTGAATCAATGTAAACGATCACTACGTTTTCATTACCACTCAATTGTGCTCATGCATTCTTTGCTGTTCTCTTCTCACTCCACTTATTTATTCAGTATTATTTATACTACTTGTTGCTAATATGCAGTAGCCAGTTACATTTCTAATAACCGTTGAGCACACAGTATAACGCATAGTTGATATCGTGTAATATTCCCTCACTGTTTTCATAAACTGGTAACATTCACTTTGTTCATTATTGTGATTACATCCTCTTAACACTTGTGAAAGTTTCCCTCCGTTTATGTGCATTTTTCGAATCTTGGTTTTAACACGACAGCTTCCATATTCTTTTGATCGTCACTATTGACTTTAGACGCAGTTGCTGACTGTTACCCACTCTATCGGAACACTTCCTCTTCCTTTCCCTTCCTTAACCGCCACAGATAACCTACGTTTCGATGCTTGTCGGTAATTCACATATATTTTGTCAGCAGTATAAAGATTCTCGTAGGAATATTTGAAAATGAAGAAGATTTGAGGGAACACTTGTTTTCACTAATTTTATCATCAGGCTCTACAGTTATAAATCTATAATTATTGTAATATTTTACGAAGGCCATAAAATAAGACATGCACTAATTAATTTGACGATGTTGTATGTTAAGAGTGGTGAACGTTTGCGTCTGTGTGATTATTAGAACTAGTTGAATTATTATACGCGCATCAGTTCACTGAATATTACAATCACACATTCCTGATGAGTCCCTAATAGCACAAAACGTAGGTCCAGGGTTTCCTATCGACTGCTTCCAATAATCACCTTACATCTCAAAGTAGTTCACGCAATGTCGATTCATTTAAACTAGGAGCAGTATTGCAGCTTGATCAACAGAATTTTATTACCACTTTGAATTAAGTTTCGCTGACAACTGATTTAAATTTTGTTATTCTTTCTGATGTCTTTCGGTCAATTTTTCTCATGTGGATCTTACAGACATGGTCTTGCAAATAAATGAAGAACATACTTCTGCGAATTAACAATTCTTACAGATTGAAATCATGAGTTAGTTGATGCTAGACCACCATGGAACACTGGATGGCTGTTTCGTCCTCGCACGGGACTTCTGAGCCGGCATCCAACGGTGTTAAT